AAAAAGCAGTGTTGGTTGGTAATAGCCTCAGCGAGCGATTTTCATCCCTAAGGTCATAGGTTTGATTCCCTGTACATCAATGGAATCTTTCTATGTGCGCATTTAAGATTCGCTCTAACGGTGAATGAAAACATCGTGAGGATTGGCTTGCCTTAGACCCAAAAAGTCGACGGCGCGTGTCAGGCACAGGAGGCTGATCACCTACTTGCCTATTAGATTTATAAATGATCATGAAACAGATACATAAATCTGAGGCCTACCTAAAAAGGTTGTAGCACCACTGATGATGTAAAACTTGATTATTTCAGTTTAAACGGTTTAATATGTGTTTACCGGGGCTAAACATTCCACGAAGTACTTTAAATATTACAATTACAAATGTATCACTTGTTAAGAAGTCATGCGTAAATTTTCACAAAGGAATCGATGCCATTGTTGCATATCAAAGATACAGTAATATTGAACCATATTTTTATTAATATCTTTGCACAAAAGAGAGATTATCTGTCGGGAGTTTTTACCGGCAGCTGCGGCTATTCAATTTTTCAATGTTGCTTTTTGATGATGCCTCTTATTTGATTTGGCCACAGTAGTTATCTTTCGAATTTCGAATATGCAAAACAACTTTCGTAATATATTATACTTAAATGTAATAAAGAGAATTTTCTTGCAAATATGCTCTATGCACCAAATTAATTGCAGATAAAAAAGCTTTATATTCCAAATACAAATTTAGATAGTCGACTTAAAAGTTTTGAATTTAGAATATGCAAAACAACAGACTCTCGTTACAGATAATATTCAATAATACTTAAACATAATAAAGAGTATTTTCTTGCGTCGACTCTATGCTGATAAAAGAGGTCTATATTCCAAAGACCAATTTAAATAGTCGACCTAAAACTTTTAAATTTAGAATATAAAACGAGCCCGCAGAAAGGAAAACTATAAAATACGCCAGGTTAGTTTGTATTATAAAAAGTGACGCAACGTTAATTTGACGATTAACTTAATTAATTCAATAATTCAATTTTATAGAGCAATTACGGTTCGAGTTGTAGACGTGTTTTTGTAAATTCTAAAGGCAACTGTGTAATTGCAGTTTGCGTGAACTTATCGCACAATTATACACATTATACATGTATTATGTAGAGGTAATAATTCCGTGTCATTACTTGTTGATGCCAACTGCACTGGAGTAAAGAAATGCATTATTAACTCGAACTATCCATTTGTTTTATAAAATAACATTAAGAAGTTATAATGATTGATGGTATAAATAAATTATAACTAAAACTCATTACGTTATAAAATTATCCTCTATATGTTAATACTAGACGGGACACAGTATTTTTTTTTATCCTAAATAAAGCATTAGCCATGGAGTTATTGCCTAATACACGTATGTTCGCGAGTTGCACAATTACCAGCCAGTACAAAACAATTATTTTCAGATGTTACGTAATGTACAATGGCACATAACCAAGACAAATAGATTTTAAATGTAGTTCTCATAAGAAATACAATCTCATATGTACTAACAATTATTATTATAATTAAAATTCTTCATCAATAATAAATACCAAGTGAACGGTGAATGCACAACACAAAGTTGTCGAATAAATATCATTAGGATCTAAGCTTACATTAGGAGAAGAAAGGTAATAGCATTAGCCCGTGAACTGAGATCGCTATCTTCACACTTGAACATGCGCTACAGAGTCTCGTTAGTCTTACTTTATGGTCAAGACAAGTAGTACTGGCTGAATGTATTCGAATGGCAGAAATGCGAAATGTTCGAAATTCAAATGAATACTTAACAGACCCAATTTGATTTATTACTGTACTCTATCGAGTCTGTGGTATTATGGCGCCAAATTTCAAATTTCGAACTGAGAGTACCTATACAAGGCAGAGATATCAAACCGATACAAAATAAAAAGGTAACTCTCAACAATATCAATTATTAACCATAATAATGTAAACAGATAAGAAAATAGAAGCAAGTTCATTGCATTAAATTTTTTTAATAATCTGAATTAAGAACTGGGTCGTTTTATTAAACGCGCTTTGTAAGGTACTAAAAATATATTACCTTGTTTAAAAATTACAAACAATTACATACCAAAAATGTCGAGGGTGTTGGCATTCAAATGCGCCGGTATTGCTAATTAAAAGAAATTCCTCTGTTATGCTTGAACATCGCAAAAAATAAAATGAATGTCTCGTCCCTGAAGTGCAAAGGTGTGAGTAATATGTTAAGGCAAAGCAATTTTATTGTAATTTTTCACTAGACATGATAATCATTACATACGGGAAATGGCCTTAAATTGCCCTCTTCTGACATACGTAGCTCAACTATAGATTCCTTAAAAAAATTGCACCGTGTCGACTCATCTGTCTCTTTTCCTCGCGGTGAAAAACAATCTGACAGAAAGAGACAAAAGGGTACTTTTTTTAAGAGTGAAATATTTGTATTTAATGCATAGTTTTTTAATATTGTCTAGTACGTATCGATACATTTCTAAACGCAATTAAAAAAAATCGTTGTCTCCACAATTTATTTGGTTTATAGTTTAAGAGCCAACATATTTACACGTCACATTTTGACGTCATCTGTTTTCAGTATCAAGAATACATTAAAATAATAGTTACATTTCTGCCTTGATAGACATTTAAGATTAACTAAATGCAATTGTTTGCTTGTATACAATGTAACAATAATGCTATGCATCCATAATGAATTAGTAATAATCCAGTATGAGAGATACTTTGTTTAGATACGACGATATTTTATAGTGTTGATACTATTGTTTTTATTTTATTCAACATTATCAAATTAATAACAGTATATTTGTGACGCTAATATAAATAAATGCATGGTGCCACAGTGTTAGACTCTCATTCCTGAGGTCGTAGGTTCGATCCCCAATAGACTTTATTTATATATGTTAAATATATTTGCTCGAACGGTGAAAGAAAACATCGTGAGGAAACCAGCTTGTCTTAGATCCAAAAACTCGACGGGGTTGTTCAGGCACAGAAGGCTCATGAGATTTACATGAGATCATGAAACAGATACAGAAACCTGAGGCCCAGACCTAAAAAGGTTGTAAATAAATTGCAAACGCTATCTAATCAAAATTATCAAAGGCAATATGACAGAGAACGAACGTCAAATTCCGTCATTTTATAAGTGATACAATTGTCGATCAGCTCTTGGACTATACGTCGTTCCAAATCACTTGGGCGTTTAATTATTGTTGCCACCACGCTCATTGTTGCCGTTTCCTCATATGGTATTTAGTAATTTGTTTGATTACCAGCAATTGCTTGATGTTTAAATCATTGTATGCTGACTTCAATACGTATTATTTCGTTCACGAATAAAAACTATTTCGATACAATGACTACCCTCACGAACACGGATGTCTTGTTTAATTATATCTTAGGTTATGGAAAATTTACAATATAGTAGGTTACTGACAAGTAACGACGATTTTCTTTAGTACTTTTACAGTCAAGTGACGACTACTTTTTTTGTAAAATGAGGGTATGACGTTTTTTACATTTTTCAAGTTTAACTTTGTATACTATTTTGAGTTAAATTAAATACATTAAAACAGGAACAAATATTATATTAATTAACACAAGTTCCTTAGGTTATTTTTTGAATTATTAAATATTTGTTAATACCTTCATATTTATATTTTTTCTATTAGGGATCTTCTGACTAACAATCTGGACTTTTAATTTACTGTGTTACATAAAATCATTCTTCTTAAAATATCCTATCCTACTCAACCTGATTTTTGTAATTCATGTTTCATCTTTTGTTTTTAGTTTATTTAGTTTTTATTTTAGTTGAAGTTTGGTAATTGTATAACATTTCATTGTTACTTGTAATTTTTCCTTACTAGGGTTACCTGGAAGAGATCGCTTTTTAGGCCCATCCCTAATAATTTATGTTACTTGTTTTTAGTTGTAATGTAACCAAGTTTTCCACATTTATTTCAATTCATGGTCTCCAGTTCAACCAACGAATTGTCAAGTTATTGAAAGAAATCACGTCGTATCTAACAAACGGCGTGAATCTCAAATTGACTGATCCATCACCCCTAACAAACAGGCAAATCCTTACATCAGTAGCAGAATTCAATAACCCCCGTTAATGTTATAATGCGTACATTATCCCCCGTTGTGTAACGGAAAATAATGTTCCAGCCTTTAATTATAATCAACACGTCATTTCCATTGATTCGTCTACAAGACATCAATACTAACTGTACAAATGTATGTAAATTAGACTGTTTTTCACTATCTAAATGTAGTATTAGACGTTTCTTTAAATTATTTTTTTTAATTCAATTTTAAATTTAAATTTATAAGTTGAATATCAATATTTAATTTTGATAAAAACTAAAATAATTAAAGTTTGAAAATCGAAGAAACGAAAAAGCGACAGTAGAAAGAGACAGACACATAAATAAGATTTAACGTGGGTGAAAATGAGATAGGAAGCATTATACAGTGTATACACTTTAAATTAGTGTAGTAAGAAGTTTTTACTTCAAAAAGTTTTTATAATTAATGATATGTAAATAAAATTGATAAATTGCATCTAATTTTATAATTGAATTAAATTAATCTCTTTTTTGTTTGCACATCTATGTTTTTTTTTAATTCAGAAAATGATCAAACATACACAGTTGCACACGGGTCTAAGACAAGTGAACACAGTTTTTATTTATTTTATTTATGTATTTTTATTATTATTTATAAAGTATTTAGTATAACATAGTAATGTTCTAACACTCAAATGTCAACGAATCCGCGTAAATGTGTTCCCAAAGCTCTCATTAACATTTATTCGATCTTATCGAAACGGAATGAACAATTTTGATTTAACATCTACAGATAACCCTTTCAACGCACGTGGGCTGACGCGTCCCTTTCATATTCCGCTCAACCTTCGAAGGATTATATTCTCCGATGTTTTCCTATCCTATTATTTCACGGGGTGAAAATGGGCCACCCACAGGCGCACCGCCTACGCGTGTGTGCTGTACGTACACGGATTTTCTTGGCGTGTTTGTGCCATGTGTTTCATCAACTGTAAACCACTGTCAACGACTCGTCAAAATAATATTGGCTTAACGTCAGCACCGTAAAGTAGGAATTTGAATCGAGCACGAATTTAATTATAAATTAATATCATAAGCTACGTTATTGTTTTTGTAATTGTACTCATATGTAATTTCTTATATGTTATATATATGTCGGGGAAAATTTTTATATAAATTTTTAATTAGTAATTTATGTCTATTAAACCCGTTCGACAGCTCAAGTATAAGTTAATAAAAATAAGAACATTCTGGAATTAAAAGAAAAACCAGTGGCGCTACAACCTTTTAGGTCTGGGCCTCAAATGTATCCGTTTCGTGATCATTTGCTTTTTTCTAAGCAAGAAGTTGATCAGCCTTCTATGTCTGACACATGGTTTCTCCGATATTTTCTTTAACCGTACAAGAGTGCTAAATGCGCAATCTGTTTTTGATTGAATTTATATAGAAACCATCAAACCTTCGAAGAGCATATGGATGTAAAAGAATGAGAGTCAGACAAGCTTGCCAACCCTGCTTAAACAAAACCTGTACAAAATTACATTCACACTTGAAATGCATGGAACAGGGAAAAATCATTTTTTCACTTGCGAGAGTGTTTCGAATTGCAAATTTTAGGGAAAAAAGCGATACTCAAAGTCAAATGCGGCAGAGCGTGATAAGCAAGTGCCGCTTATGCAAGATCACGAATGTAATTGCTCCCTTGTCTGGCACGACACTTCAGTAGAGGGAGATGGCACAATTGTAACCCATAGGAGAAAACGGGATATAAACAAATGATAAACAAAGCATGAGCGACAAAAATGATTGATTGCCAGCCGTCTTGCGCTGAGCTCTATTTAATCACTTTATTCCCTTTTCTGCGTTTGGGATAATTTTGTATTTGTGTAATTTGTATACGGGATCAGGGCTTCGGCCTACGGTGATCCAACGCCTATCCGGGGCGTGTTGAAATACGATGTTATCTTGTTATACGACAGGCTTCATTAAAGTAAAAAAAATACGTTGGTTAATGACAGGTCCAGGAAGAATTAATGTCAATTAAATTAAAGTGACAGGTCCATAGTTGTGTTGGTAGGAATTAATTTCAAGTAAACATTTAACTATGAGAGGTGGTTACTACGTTTTTTTTATGTTTATTAAGTCCTACCGCGGGTATTTTTTCACAGTTAATAACGAAAAAATGTTTTGTTTGGAACACTGTCAACACTGACAGTAGTTAATTTGCGATTAATGTAATTGGTAGATGTGTGTGTGACACGTCTTTAACAAATGTGTGTATTTAAAAAAATTTATCAATGATCCAAATTTAAAAATTTAATGTTTATTTAATAAAACACTATTTTGACCGGATTGAAGTTATGTATTATTATAAATTTACAACTATTTAACATAATTTTAAATTTATCCGACGTTTCGCGTGCTTTACGTGCTACGTGCGTAAAGCACGCTGTAAATAGTTGTAAATTTATAATAATACATAACTTCAATCCGGTCAAAATAGTGTTTTATTAAATGAATAAAAGTTATGTTAATCAAAGACAATACTTAATGTTTATTGTTGTATATTTATATGTTTTTATCGACTTACCACTCATATGACCATTTTCATAAGGCGAATAGTCTCCATTCTCTAGACGGTGCTTCTTGAAGGGGTGTCCTGGGAAGGGCGAAGCGGCCAGCGAAAGACCAACTCCGGAGGCTCGTTTCGGTGGTCGACCCGGTCTGGAGCTGCGGACATAGTAGCACGTTACTGCCGTTTAAGACGGTACACTTTTCATACATACTAACATACACATGCAAAACATAGTACGAAAATTTTACAATTTTTTTTGAGTTTTGAAAATTTAATAATTATATATGTCGCTAAATTCGTATTCTCAAACGTGAATCCGACTCAAATCATATATCATCTGTCAAACTGTCAAGTTTAACATTTTTGTGCAAAAGACATGATCGTGACTTGAGATACGTTCAAGAATACGAGCCATAAAGCTTAAACAATAAATAATAGCAAAAGCTACAGTCCAATAAAATTATCATCTAAAACAAAACGTTAATTAATAACATAAATTGCATTTTACAGTATCTCAGGCATTTCTTAACGGACTTATCTAATAAATCAAGTTCTCGCGAGGGTAGCATCAGATTTATTTTTATTTATTTCACTCCCCTAAGATTTAATGCATCCTCCGTTTCCACAATTTCACGCTTATTGTTTTCCCATCCGTGATTTACGGACATGTAATAGTCTATGGTCAACGCAATATATGACCACCTAAATCTTTGCGCTTAAGCCTATTGTGCCTAGCAAGGCTCCTTTGTGACAATTAACTACGTATATAGAGGTATCCCTTTGCCAATGAGACACTATTATTTTAAATTTCGAAGTTCTATACAATATATATCACACGTCGCGCAAAGTGTTTTAAATTTCGAACGATTTTTTTCAAAATTTAATTTAAATTTCAAATTAATGGAAGTTCTGTGGTAGACGCAAAATTCAGTGATTTTTGAATTTAGAATAAAAAAATTGTTTTTGTGTACGAATATAACATTTTTGAATTTCGAACTAGAATTTGGAATGATTACGTTCAATTACATAAATAACGGGGAAAATGATGCAGCAAAAATAATGTACAAATTTATTAACTATTAATTACATAATATAACATAATACAAATATTGTCTATGCCAAAAGTACACAAACACCACAGATTATATCTATTATTCTATCTTAAAAAACGAAATTTGTTCGAAATTCAAATACGATACAACAGCTACATGATCAATTACATTGGTATCCCGTAATGACATATCGAAGTTAACGCGTGTACAGAGGAACAAGTTCGGCAATTATCGAGGGAGCGATGCTGTTATCATAGTATCGGCTTACGCAGAAACTGACTCTCGGCTATTTATTTTTATGTCAGCAACCGTCATTATGAGACACTCCATTAGCTTGGATTGCGGTGCGACTCGTTTTCGGTTACGCTTAGGGCGTGTCTGCTTTTGACGATTCTTTTTCCGTTGCAAGTGATAAGAGGCTTATCAGAAATGTTATAATGGTAATAGTGGACAATAGCTTCCAAGGACGCTTAGATATATAGTGAACATCACTGACCCCTATTGAAGTTTTGATAATGTATTAAAATTAATTTCGTTACTTTAAATAATTTCATTGGAAATTTTGGATACCTATAAGTGCGAGTAGTTATCGTTTTTATTTAGTTCTAATAAATCACATTACACTAATAATTATTAAGTATATAGAAAATAACTGCGAAGTTTTACCCGTATTAACTCCAATACAGCCGTCCCCTACAGACTATGCAATTGGAAAGTTTTTCTATTCACACCAGCTCCTGTACTCTAACTTTTGATGATTTCATGAAAGCAATTTCTATGTAATTCTCTCAGTATCCATAGAGCTGATGTCGCTACCATAAACTCAACCGCTACCGGAAGTTAGACGGGAACAGATTAGCGCCTTCATACAAAAGAGTTTATATATATTTACGCCGTCATGGAACAATACCACATCAATACCATAATAAACAGAGGAAAAAAAACAAAACCGAAAGTGTCAACGATAACGCGTGCCTCCCGACATCGCCTGTCGCCACTTAGCCGTAATCGGAACACCGAAGCTCATTCAGATAAATTGCCATTAAAAAGTCGATTTATTACTGAACGATTTCAAACGATTTATTCGCATACTATCGAAATTTAACACGCAAACCTTCCATTATGTTCCTGTTCGCCATTTACTTAAAGACAATGTGGAATTATTGATAAGATGCGTCCCACTTTGAAGGTGCTTTTAATATATGCCTATTTATAACTTATGGTTACTATTTTATATGAAAGCGGTTTCAATTTTTTTTAAACTTAATAGGTAATAATACAGCATCAAATATATTTATTTAATAAAAAAACATCTTGTAATAGAAATAAAGTGCAAAATTAAACGAGAATACTGTAACAAAATAACTATTAATTACTTTTTAACTAAAGGTTTATTTAACAAAATTAACTAATTTAATAAAAACCGTAGTCTACTCAGCTGAACGTCGTGGTCAACAAGAAAACTTCTGAAGTGGACTATCTGTTTCCACCGGTTTCTGTCCAGCGTATAGTACATATTAACATAGTACTAAATTAATATTTATTCCATCAAATTTTTTTTTCAAAGACACAACAACATTAAATCGCACCCAAAATAGTATTGGCATATCAAACCCAACCCTAGTGAAATAGACACCGCCGATAGTTTTGCTTTTTGTTATATTTGCTAAGCAATATTCATCATTCATGTCACAGATCGAATCACAATAGATTTCGGATATTTCCCCACAGAATTTACTACCAAGCGGTAAAGCCGAGCCAAGCGTTTCCATAATTATTAAACACATGCTTGTAAAAGTCCAAACACGAGGTGTTGACAGCCTATCTACCTAATAGTCATAATATGTTTATAAATTTTTTGTTCCCGTTTCATGTAATTATTTACGGTGCACTACCGTCTGGGAATGTTTACGCATTAAATTAGACTTTAAATCAGTTAGTGAAGTACATCCTGTCTATGGACACGATGTTAATAAAGCTGAAAGATGAGACAAATATTAAGGTGTTCTATTTTCAAATTCATTTACGATTGTTTACTGTATCGATTTTAATGATAGCTTTCATTTCGGGACAGTATTTTTAACAATAACAAGGCGACAGGAAACCGTTGTGAAGGATTTAAATATGAATTTCGGTGAAGTAGGAAACACGTCAAACAATGGAGCTCTGTCTTAAAAATGGCTCAGGATTCGGTAGACAAGGTAAAACGGTAAAACAAACGGACCTAATCTTATCTACGGTAAACTCAAACGCAGTAGCAGTTTGTCTTGGGTTCACTACAAACATGATAAATGAATTCGGTTATAAAAAGCGTTGCTCTATTTTCTAAACGAGTTCCGGTTCAAGCGGGTTTCATTCCTCGATTAATACAATACCTACTTAGAGAAGTACCTGAGGAAGAAAGAGAGATACGTTAATTTAGTTTGAACATTTAGAACACAGAATCATTAAAAACAATGTTCTAATAAAGCGAAACAAAAATTTAATTGAAGCCAAAAATTAGAGGGCACATCGGACATAACAATAAAACGAGAAAGCAAAGCCGCGTAAGCATGTCGTAAAAATAAAAATTAAATAAAAAATTCTTTGGGGTGGAAAAGTTTTGCGACCGTAATTTGGCTTTACAATTATTTCTTGTTCTGATGGAGCAAGATGTTCTCCTAATGTTACCTGTCCCTCGGGTAACTCAGAATATTTTCAGTACTGTGCAGCTCTATACGTTTCGTTTCACGCAAATAAATTATGAATATTCATCACTGTTAATCCGATTTCAACGAGGAATTGTAAATGGGAGATGTATGGATTCTATATCAATAATGAATCCTTATAAAGGAGCTTTCGTCTGCATACAACTTAAAGAAAATCATTATTATCCAAAACCGATTAACATGATGCATATGTTATTATATTTACCGATTTTTAATTATTACTTTGTAGGTTAAGAATATTGTAAATAGTGTACATTTGTATTTTCGGAAAATATCTTTCTATAAAGCATATCAATTTTTTGAATGAACACAAGATGCGGCTCTAAAAGCTCGGGTTGTTTTGGCGAGCATAGCTCAGCCGGAATGAGCTTTTTTCCATCCATTGTTCACATCGGTAGCAACATTTCAATTTATCCGAAGCACTTTACAAAACTAATTATATTTGATATTAAACTCATTTGATTCGAGACAGTTAATACAGACATTTTGAGATCAGCTTATTACATCTTCGAATTACAATGGCTTTTTATCATCGATTGTATCGAGTAGAGTCTTTTACTATATAAGATGAAATGGGCGATAATTATTTTTTAACATTTTTATTACTGCTGGCACGAACGTGAACACGCCACGTGATAATTGAAATGTCCAAATATTGGATTTATGTGGCCTCTATGGTGAGTACATTTTTATTGCTTCTACCCATAGAGTAAATTTTTTATCAAACTTTTTACTTTTAAAGGAAATATACCTACGTTACGTATATTTAATATTTCACTTACATAAAACATACATAAGTAATTTACGTTATATTATAGTTGTTTATATAAAGTAGTCTAGATTTGTTTTTTTTATTTATAGTACGAAGGGCAAATGGGCTCGCGAGTGCGTTGCCGGCCTTTTAAGAAATTGTACGGTGTTTATTTGGAGAACCTTAAGTCGGATTGGTTTGAAAATACTTGAGTTGCAAAAACTGCCTTAAAAAACGCTCAGTCCTGCGATTCTGTAACTCACTTTTCGAACTCACACAGCGGTTTTCGCATCGGCGGTCGTTCTCAAATCAGTCGTGAAGCAGTAATTTTATGATTTGGCATTCTGATAAACAATAAACTACAAGCTCCCACCTTTTCAGAATGCCAAATCATAAAATGACTGCTTCTTAAATGAGTTACAGAATCGCAGAGCTGTTCTGGAACGACGGACGTTGAGGTGATACGGGTGAAATTTCGTATTCTTCGTACAGTGGAATCAAAAAACATACAAATTCAATAAACAGAAGTAGCCTTTATATGCGATATCTTCCAGGCTATTTGAATTAGAACGAAAATCAAAAAGTCTTTTGTTAGATAACATATCATGCATGTTTTCATATATTAATTCAAATTCTTTTGTAGGAACATTTCCTAAATCGTTATATTTTAAAACATAGAAATGTAACAAGCATAACCTATTAATATAATATTACAAGGGAGCCCTTTCTACGAATGGTGGGGCAAAATAATCAGCCCCCAAGGGACAAGCTCTTGTAATTAGCGGCTGTTCATTTCTTAATTTCAATATTTAATTACAAAGGAAACTCGACTAAAAGACGTCACCGTCAGAAAGAGTGGATTTTACGTTTGGTTGTTTCGATACTTCATTGTTTTGTATCAAAGGTTTGATATCAAAGAGTTATAAATTACATTTTGGCTTCTAAAGTCTTTTACGCACTCTCGATATGTATCTGTATATGTACATTGCTTTGGGTTTAACGAGAAAGATTTTATTTGTTTCAAGTTCAAGTTAAATATTTTGCATTTATTTATTTTACAGAATAATACAATATAAATCATAGAAAATTGAAAACCACTTTAGTATTGTCACTATATTAATTTTTATGTAATCAAATACATTATATAATAGATATCATTGACTACATTGAAATTGACAATAAAAAACAATTGCCAAACGAATTAAAAAGCGTAATTTTTTAAATTAAGAACTATATACGAACGCCTGAAACTTTTTAGTTTCAGCATATTTTTATGCTAAAACAATGTAAGGACCTCTTCTATTACGTAAAAATTTAGGGAAACATTACTTGTACTTATTACTTTTAACAGAATTGGTGTTTAAACTTCTATTAGCGTAATATCAATGTAACATTATCCTCTGCCAAAGAGCCATCTTCCAATTTTCCTTTGTCGTTATCCCATTGTTGTCGGTAATAGGGTCTGACATATTCTTTTTATCTGGGTTTCAAAATACTAAGATTTTTTAACAAATACTAGATATTACATGTCTCTGTAGTACGACTGCGTAATAATAATAAGACGATGTAAAAAACAATATTAATTAATAATTAAGCCTATTTATTTCTTAAAACAATCATCCATATTTACAAAAATCCATATTTACGAGGAGAAAAAAATACTGTACCTACTTTAATTAGATAAAACTAATATAAAACAAAGGCCAACAACGCAATCGCGAGCCTGGAAATGTGAGTGTCCATGGGTATCACTTAACATCAGATGAGCCCGTTTGCTTTGATAAATAAAAGAAAATCTAATACAATTTCTAATGTGATACCTGTTAAGAAAGGCACGATTACAATATTATTTCAAACAAAGTTAAAACAATTGCGAATGTTATTATCCTTGTAAAAGGAATCATTCAATACAAGTTTTTTTAATTCCCTAAATTTTTCCGTAAATTTTTATTAATAAATTTGCACATTTCAAATTGTATCGGCAAAAATATTAATTTCTCTTTGTGGCGTTTCATTTTCCACTTTTCGTTTGCGTTTGGCACGTTTTGTTCACTTTGACGACCGTGGTTCGGACGTCGCCATTGTAAATCGACGCACTGTTTTGTTAAATGAAATTGTACAATTTCTGGACGACTGACCGTTACGCCCCTATGCGCCCTTAATTTCGAATTGAAAAGAAATTACTTTTCAACAGTATCGGGAATTTTATGTCAGTCTAGAAAAGCAAGGTTTTTGAATTAGATTTAGCATAAAACCTTTATTAATGTACCTTAAAATAATAATAATATATTTGGCATAATAGGCAGTAAGGCATATTTTACGGCAAAAAAAACATAGTTTGACTTAATGACCTATAACCCCTAGATGGGGCAGAAGGCGTCCACAGTGAGTCTCCACCGCATTTGGTCTTGGCATTTCAAAAACATTGAAATACGGAAATATAGTTTAGTCAGCAACAAAACTTAGTCGTCAGATCACATGAGATGTGATTATATAATATCAAGTGCGTTGCCGGCCTTTTAAGAATTGGTACGCTCTTTTCTTGAAGAACCCTAAGTGAAATTGGTTCAATATGGTAGCTGGTTCCACATAGTAGTGGTGCGCGGCAGAAACTGCCTTAAAAAACGCTGTGAAACGAAATTTAAAGTCAATCATCTATAAGGTTATTTCATAAATAAAACATCCACCCCAACAGTTTGTTAGTAATTTAGAAAAAATTAATCGTTCCAACATATGATAATAGCTCAAAGCGAAAACTAATCATTCCGCAAATTGGTGTAAAAATTGCAGATGGCGCCACCAAGCTCCACAGCCTCCAGCCTAACAATTGTATATTTGTTACGGTATTTGGGGTTTGCTACCGTTTTGAAGTCTTTTTTGGGTTTAAAAATTACCTGCCATAGTCGATTTCAAAATTAATTCTAATACCGCTGAGTCACAACACAAAAAAGTCTTGTTTTTCATCACCAACCATTAACACGTGAAACTTAAATTGTAAATTTAAAAGGTTATTTGTATATTCGAAATAGTTATTCACATATGGCTAATACTTCATCGGTTTCATTCAAAATAAATATTCTTTTAGTTCAAACTACAAACCACTTAATGAACATAAATAATAAACAATACATTAGGAGAAGAATTTGATGAAAACAGTTTAAAAACAAATGAAAATTGTAATTTAAAAAAAAAATATATATATTCACTTGGTTATTGAAAAGCTGGGAACCCTGACACAGGTACTTTTTAAGTAAAATACCCCTTGTATTTTACTTTTTAATAAAACCTTTCAGATTCTATACAAATTCTCATATGAATTGTTAATGCTAATTGTGGAATTTATACTATTACAAATCGGGTACCGCTGGATCGATAGACTAGAAAAGGACCTGCTGCAGCTAAAAATCAGCAATTGGTGGGAAATCATACAGTACAGGGAGCGGTAAAAGTTTCTTGTTTCGGATGAAAGAAACATTTTGCCTCTGTGCGAGTGCGATACTGTCTCCAAAACGAAGGATAATTTTAAGAAAAACAAAATTTGGTTCTCAGATCAAGTGTGACTGTTAACGAATTATTTACTAGTAAATACTTAAAATGTAATATATAAAATTCTAGTGTCGCGGTGTTTGTAGTTAAACTCCTCCGAAACGGCTTGACCGATTCTCATAAAATTTTGTGTGCGTATTGGGTATGTCTGAGAATCGGACAACATCTATTTTTCATCTCCCAATTTTTTTTTTTAATTTATAGATTATGATACAGCATTAAAAAATACATACAACCCCTAATTTTTCTTCCCTCTCCGATACATCCCTATTTTTTATTAT